AAGCTTGCTAGACTTCTACCGAATTACACAGAAGCTGAAAAAGAAAAAAAACCCCAAACAACTGCGTCCATCACCTCTAAAAGTACTTTGTTGCAAAGAAATGTTAAAACTGTCTACGAATGTATTCACAGGATCAATGGATAATGGTTTTAACAAGTTGCATTTTCTAGCAAGAAAAATACTAGCGTTGAATACGGGAACTGGATTTGCTTATCTTTTCTTTATCCTATTTTCCTTCTCAGACGAATTTAGAAAAATTATAATCTATTTAGTTAAAAAAGGTTAGGATAAATAGCAGATATAAACATATTTATCACATTTTCCCATGCTCTGTTGTTCCTCCTGATCCCTCTTTGTTGCACTTATTTGCTTCTTATGCAACTTTCTTAGGCACTTCTGTCAGATACAAAAGAACTCCTTTCCCTTCCTGCTTGGGAGGAGCATAATTTACTAGGAAACACTGTATAAAAAATTACATCAGCCATAAGAATCAATGTGAGGAGAAATCTGGAAAGTCAGAGAATCCATCTGCCAGTCTGTGCTGGTTTTGGCTGAGGGAGAGTTAATTTTCTTCGGAGTAGCTAGTATGGGGCTGTGTTTTGGATTTGTGCTGAAAACAGTGTTGATAACACAGGGATGTTTTGTTACTGCTGAGCAGTGCTTACACAGAGCCAAGGCCTTGTCTGTGTCACCACCCCACCAGTGAGTGGGCTGGGGGTGCACAAGGAGTTGGGAGGGGACACAGCCGGGAGAGCTGACCCCAACTCACCAAAGGGATATTCCATACTCAGTGTATGAAACTGGGGGGAAGAAGAAAGAAGAGGTGGATGTTTGGAGTTATGGAGGTTAAAAGTGATGGAGCCCTGCTTTCCAGGAGATGGCTGAACACCTGCCTGCTGATGGGAAGTGGTGAATGAACTCCTTGTTTTGCTTTGCTTGTGCACACTGCTTGTGCTTTACCCGTTAAACTGTCTTTACCTCAACCCACGAGTTTTCCTACTTTTACTCTTCCAATTCTCTCCACCACCCCACCGTGGGGGAGTGAGCGAGTGGCGGTGAGGTGCTTAGCTGAAGACCAGGGTTAAACCAAAACACAAGCTTAAGGCAAGATCAACATTATTTAAACCATTTCATACTCATTAATTAATCTGCTTTTAAATCTAAGCAACAACAAGCAACAAAGCCTTTCTCTAATCTGAAATAGTATCCAATATTTTGATATAAGAAGTTGCAAGATGTTTTCCCCCTGTAAAAATCCTGGTGATGGGTGGGGCTGGGGGAGACAAATCACTATCAGTCTCTTAGGCAGAACCTGGTTACATTCCTCCCTTGATTCTTCTTTTCTAAAGAAAACAAACCTTCAAAATGTCTTCCAAACAGAGCTTCAAAGCATGACCCATCATGCTTGCCACTTTATTCTAATAATTCTTCTCAAAAAAGTAGGACAACGGAATATAACAGGGACCTCACTGATTTGAAGAATGAGATAGTTCTCTCTCAACTGACATCCACCCAAAATCCAGATTAGCTTAAAAAAAAAAAAAAAAATTGAAGATATGTAAACAGCATATCTTCAGCTTGTGTTTCATTAAAAGTGATCTTTCTGCCTTGACAGCCCTTTTCTTTTACTTGGCAATCCCAAGGAAATCCAACTGTCAAGCCAGTTATTCCACTTTCTGTAAGGGATCAGCTGTACCTAAGTCACCCCCAAGAGATGTTCCTCTAACATGGTTTCAAAGACCTCCACCAACACTTCTGCAGCATTCCAGGAAGTTTTTTCTAATGCTTATAAATGAGAACTTTTATTCAGTGTTTATGCTGCATCTCCCATTTTCAATTTTCAACCACTAATCTTCATCCATAATGCAAGAATGTTCTGCCTCTCAGTGCAAGCAGAAAAGAGCTGCCAGGCTGGCAATTATGAAAATAAGTACTTATGACAAGTATGCTATTATTCAAAACAACATTATTTTACAAAAATGTTAGAACATGAGAGAGTTTCTCAGCTGACCTGGATTTCTTCCCAGATGTCTTCATCCAAAAGAGTGGCTGCAGTATGGTGCTGTAGAGGGGCTATCAGGCAGTGACCTTCAGTAAGGGACTGGTTGCTTGGTAGAGATAAGTATACCTATAAAAAGTGAACAAAACCTGAAGTGACCATGTTTCTAGTGTTAAAAACCTTCCCATTGCTAAGGCTAAGAATATATCATTTGCTAAAATTCAAACCACTAGAAGCCATTATCTTCTAATTACAGCAAGGTATTAGCAATTTTAGTGGTTTTAGAAAGGTCCTAGTATCCATCAGTAGCTCCAATGAACTAGTAGTATCCAGAGAGCAGTTCCACCAACAAGGCAGTATCAGTCTTACAGACCAACCGGTATCCTAACTATTACAGAATGACACTGTTTAGTCCATTACAATACACTTTTTAATATAGATTTTTAATAAAATTATGCATACAGATAGAGATATATCTGTAAGATATATAAACACATATATACACACACAGAGATACATATATAAAATGCATACAAATATGTATTTAATCTATCGATATAAAAGATAAGTATAATGTACCATAATACATCTCTATGCTTTTAATTCCTTGGCCTATAAAAAGTTTCAAATCCAATGAAAAAAATCAATAATAAATTAAAAATTTAGAGAAAGAATGACAAAAAAGCCTATATTGAAGCATTTAATATAAATCCAAATATTTATGCAACTTTTAAAAGCATTAACAAAAAGAAGGTTCCCCATACCAAACTTCTGTCTGTCAATGATTTTAGGCCTAAAAATGGAATTCTTCACTTAATTTTCTTTGATATCACTGAGATACAATTCGTCCCAGCTTCAAATTTCCTCCAGTGCAAAGTGATTTAGTTCTTCCACAAATCCATCTACAGTCTAATCTCTGCACTCAGATCTTCTATTATTACTCTCCAAAATCTGAAGTTCTGATATCAAAGATTAGCTTTATAATTCATGACAGATTTCTATCTTTTTCTCCCTCATTCTTGAGGAATTTGTGAAATCAATTGGAAGGACAAGGAAAATAAGATGCAGAACAATAAATCATTTCATAGAAGCAATTTTGTTCTTAATCTTACAGACTCTAACATTAACTCTGCCTTTATTTCTTTTTGACTTTTACATTTGTGCTAAGTTGCTATTTTCTTACCTTGGTGCCAATTGCAATAATAAGATGTTTAGAAAGTTCACTGCCATCAAAGCAGTATGGGCACTTTTCCATGCGTGCAACAAGCTGCTGGTGCTCATGTATTGCTTTTCTTCTATGTATTTCTTCCTCTTCCCCACTGCGCGCTCTTTTGGCTGCTTTGGAAACAAACATGTCATCCAGAGTGTAGTACTCTCTGTCAGTTTTATCCATGAACTGAAAAGATAGACAGAAAAAATGCGCATATATATATATAAATAAGCAAGAAAAAAATACTCAGCTCTTCGTAGAGTCCTTTATTGAGGAAAGCATGAAGTACGTAAGCAGTAGCATTGCTTCCTTCCATACGGCATCTGCAGCACATGCAATCATCAGGTGCATCTCCTGAGACCAGTCACACATCATTAGACAGCATAGGTATTAAAATAGAGATGTTATCGATGTGTGACAGCAGTGAGGAGAGTATATTATTATATAATACCACGAAGCTGTTCTCACAAATCCCCCTCCCCTCCCCCAGTGGAGGGGAAGAATAGGAGGAAGAAGAAATAAGGAAGCTTGTAAAATTGAGATAAGAACTATTTACTAATTAAATCTTAATTAATATTTACAAATACTACTACTAATAAATAATAGAAAAGAAAGCATATGATACAATATGATAGAATCTCTCACCACCCACTGACCAATGCACAACCAGGTGCTGAGTAGTGAGAGACAGACCCAGAGCCCAAGAGCGATCGTACCCTGAGAGCCGCAGCAGATTCCGAACGAACCCTGTCAGCGATAGCACGACCGGGAAAACTAAACAAACCCACAAACTCAA